GATCTGTTTTAGCAGAGGACTTTAGAGCCCTAATGGCTCAAGGGTTGGACTTGATGATCTCGGAGGTCCCTTCCACCCTAAAGGATTCTATGATCCATCTGTTAGCTCTGAAAAGAAACTGCAGCTGAAGACCAGGCAGGGCTGCTGGAGGCAGGGGTGTGCTGCAGGATCTCTGCTGACCCTTCCCTTCCCTTCCCCCTCTTCCTTCAGCTCCCCCCTCTACCTGTACCGCCTGATGGCCGTGGTGGTGCACCACGGGGACATGCACTCGGGGCACTTCATCACCTACCGCCGGTGCCCGGGGCCGGCCCGGGGCCCTCTGTGTGCCAGCAGCCAGTGGCTGTGGGTGTCTGACGATGCCGTGCGCAGGGCCAGCCTGCAGGAGGTCCTCTCTGCCAGCGCCTACCTGCTCTTCTACGAGCGGGTCCCCTCCAGGGCACAGCCCCGCAGCCGGCAGGGCAGGGCCGAGGAGTGACCGGGAGGATGAAGCTCGACGCGACTCTTCTACTGTTACACCTCTTTGTTATGCAAAGAACCCACCGCAGGCCCTTTAACTTCCCCTCCCCAACGGCTGGCTCCTGCTGGGAGCTGTTTTGTACCAGAGCGATGCTGCCCGAGGTGTGTCTGGGTTGAGAGAAGGTGTTTGTTCTGTTCAGAGGGGGGTTTATCAACGCCCCAGCTCCCAAAGAGCCGTTCCAAACTGGCTTCTCAAAGCCCTGCTCCACGTTCTGACATGTCTGTGGATTTTCAAAGGGAGATGCTTCATCCTGTACACTTCACCGTGGATGTTTTTTCGGAGCAGGGGAGCCCCAGAAGCAGCTGATGGGAAGCTCCTGTGATCAAAGGCAATGATTTAATTAACAAAGTGCCTTGAGCTTATCTGAACAGCCACACGACCATTGTCTGAGTCTGCTGCCTGTCTGCTGCACTCTGGGAAGTGCCCCAAGAGGATGGGCTGAAGTGATGGAATCAGACTTCTCAACATCCCAGCTCATCAATACATTCAGGCACCTCTACAGAACACACATGATCCAAAAAAAAAACCCCTTCCATGTCCTTTTCCTGATACTGGAATTCCTTACACATCATAGAAGTACCTCTGATGATTCAAAGTGCAGTTTCCTTTTTCTAGGAGAGCTGAGCCCCTGATGTCTTGCTCTGTATCTTTGGAATGCAGCTGAAATCAAGCCAGAAATATTTGCTGGCAATGAGTATTCTCATTTCCTCCCTCACCATGAAACTGCTGGATACAGCTTTTAGTTACCAGGAATAAAGTATGTAGGTTGGTTTTAGCTCTTTTCTACCCTTTGAAGCTTGGAGAAGGAAAAGACTGCTGGAGCAGAGAAGCTTTTCCAGCATAAAACTAAGTTTTCAAGTGATGACAACTGTCTTAATAGATTTAGGGCAACTTTGTACCTCATATCTTCATACTGCTGCCCAGGGTTCATAGGCATGGTGGCTCAAACCCAGCCAAAACAGGAGAGGTGATGGATGGATGTGCAAAACTCTTTACATAAGTCATCATTCCAGAGCATGGATCACAATTGCTGCTCCAAGTAACTCTCAACAAGACATCAAATAGTCTTTATGAATCTACCAGACTAGTTCCTGAGAATTCTCCCTGTCTGTGCTAGGCTAGCAGTAGCACATTTTTAATCTTTCTGGTTTAAATTATGAAAAAACAAGAATAATATAAAAAAAACCCCAAACCCTTGAAGGATGCAACATGCCAAAACTGCCCTGGCCATGGAACTGTGACCTGATGGACTTGCAGGAGGTGGGAACCCTCCCTTCTGGGCAGCAGAACCACTCCTCTGTGCAGCAGGAGCTCAGTAAAGCAGCTTGTAACCTGGCCATAAAGGTTTTGTGTTACTGCAAGCTCCTACCTTCAGTGTGTTGTCCTTTTGCACAGAGCTGCTTCCCAAGAGGGGCCAAGTGTGGTGAGGATGAAAGCACAGTCCCCATACAACACTGATAAACTGCTGGTTCCTCAGCAGATTTGCTCTGAAAGCTTCCTTGGGGGCTATAAAGATGAGGTAGTCAGCACTTGTTCTAGCTTTCACTGTTAAGAAGGAGTAGACAGTCTTGCCTCAGCCCCTCAGAGTGAAGAAGGGAGCAAATCACAGCACCTTGGGTCCTGGTCCTGAGCTGGGTGAGATAATTCCAGCTGCTGTGAGCATTCAGGAGCTGTCTGACACCCAACGTGGCACCTTTAGAAGTCACTGGGCTCTTCAAATGCTGTTAATTGTTGCTCACAAGCTTCCGTGGGGAAGGTGTTTGTAAAATATAAAGGATGACAAAAACCATCAGAGAAGACCTCCAAGGTGATATCTTTGTGTTTGGATTATTCTTGTCTTCTTTTGTGCATTATTTAAAACCTGTCTGATATTAGAGGCAAACCACCTCACTGCTGTTTGAAAGTTGCATTTTCACTTCAGGGTATTTTTGTAATTGTACAGTAGAAATAAAAGAATAAAGTTATTAGAAAAAGTAGCTGTTCACGTGTGGTAATGTCTCAAAACAAAGACCAAGTGTCCAGTATATGCAACAGAAGCAGCACTTCACATTATCTGGATAAGGAGCATTCATCCAGGAGCTCTTCATGTCTCCTACAGCATCTCCTGGTAGTGGCAGAGGGTGGGAAATACCAGTTCCAAATTGGCTGAACAGACATTCATTCATTCCACAGCCCTACCAGAGCTAGAGCTGAAGGACAGAGCCCATCACTGATGTAGCTGCTTGCAGCCTGGTTCCACAGGGATCAGTTCCCATTCTCTCTCAGTACTTCCCACTGCTGCTTGATTCTGCAAGCCCTGTTGGTGATTTTGGAAGGTCTTTCCTCT